TCTGCTGGAGATTTGCTATTTTGCAAAGAAACTCTCTTGACCTCGCTTCTCCCCTGGCGGCTGCCCTAGTTCTTCGCTACCCTTCACAGCAAAACTACTTTTAAAAAGTTGTCTATATTCTCAGTATCCAATTCATATGCTTCCATTCTGTCTGAGACACACTTTAATCAGAGTTTCATCCCTACCACTTCACCAAAGCTGTCCTTCTCAAAATCACCATCGATCTCCACTTTACTAAAATCAACGGCCAATTCTTATTTCTCATCTTACTTGACTTTTAGCAACATTTAACCTAGATAATCACTCCTCTCCTTGTGATAAACTTTCTTTACTTAACTTCCAAGACGTGTAATTTCTGGCTTCTCTCCACCCTTGCTGGCCATTCCTTCTCGGCCTTCTTTGCTTGTGTTTTGCTTTTCATGTTCTGACCTTTACTATTGGGGTGTACCAGATTTCAGCCCTTAATCCTCTCCCCCTTCTCCATCTGGTCATCTCAGATGACTTGTCAACAACAGTCGATTTTATATCTCCTTCCCAGACCAATCTCTCAAACTCCAAATATGTTTATCCCACCACCTACGTGATCTCTCCAGTTGCCCACAGACTCCGATCCTGACCCCACTTCTGCCCTCAAATCCACTAAGTCTGCTTTGCCTTCAGCCTTCTCCATCTCAGTTGATACCAAACACATTTACTCAAGTCAAAAACCATATAGTCATACTTAGCTCTCCTTTCTCTCTTATCCCACATCTAATCCATTGAAACTCTGTGGCCCAACTTTATTTTATTTTTAAATTTTTTATTGGAGTATAGTTGCTTTACAATGTTGTGTTAGTTTTTACTGTGCAGCAAAGTGAATCAGCTATACGTATACATGTATCCCCTCTTTTTTGGAGTTTCTTCCCATTTAGGTCACCACAGAGCACTGAGTAGAGTTCCCTGTGCTTTACAGTAGGTTCTCCTTAGTTATCTATTTTTACATAACATCAATATTGTATATATGTCAATCCCCGTCTCCCAATTCATCCCACTCCCCCCTTGGTATCCATGTTTGTTCTCTACGTCTGTGTCTTTATTTCTGCTTTGCAAATAAGATCATCTATACCATTTTTTTAGATTCCACATATATGTGTTAATATACAATGTTTTTTTTTTCTCTTTCTGACTTACTTCACTCTGTATGATAGTGTCTAGGTCCATCCACATCTCTACAAATGACCCAGTTTTGTTCCTTTTTATGGCTAAGTAATATTCCATTATATATATATGTACCACATCTTCTTTATCCATTCATCTGTCGATGGACATTTAGGTTGCTTCCACGTCCTGGCTATTGTAAATAGTGCTTGCATGCATGTGCCTTTTTGAATTATGGTTTTCTCTGGGTATATGCCCAGTAGTAGAATTACTAGTCATATAGTAGTTCTATTTTTAGTTTTTTAAGGAACCTTCATACTGTTTTCCATAGTGGTTGTATCAAGTTACATTCCCACCAACAGTGCAAGAGGGTTCCCTTTTCTCCACACCCTCTCCAGCATTTATTGTTCGTAGAGTTTTTGATGAAGGCCATTCTGACTGGTGTGAGGTGACACCTCATTGTAGTTTTGATTTGCATTTCTCTAATAATTAGTGACGTTTAACACTTTTCATGTGCCTTTTTCTACCTCTAGTAAGAGCTACCATCATGTCTCAACTTGATTATTATGGTGGCCTCCTACCTGACCTTCTTCCTTTCACCCTCTACCCCTATAGTCTATCCTCAAATAATAGCTAAAGTGATCCTGTTAAAAAATAAGTCAGATCATGGGATTCTTCTGCTCAAAACCCCTTAAAAGCTCCCATTTCATATAGGGCTCAAAGTCCTTACATGGCCTGCAAGGCCCTGCCCGATCTGGTCCCTCTGACCTCACTGAGCTGATGTTTCCTTCTCACTCCAAGCTCAGGGGTCTCTGTGCTTTTCCTCAAACTGCCAGACTCATTCCTATCGTAGGGCCTGTCAACTGGCTATCCCTCTGCTGGGATGAACTTGCTCATCTCAGCGGCCCTCTCAGCTCCTTCTAGCCCTTGATCACACATCTTCTCCACAATGTGGCCTACATGCTGACCACCTTATTTAAAATTGCAACATGCAACCCTACCACCTGATTTCCCCTACTTTTTCTCTTATCCATAATATTTATCTTCTTCCTAAACACTATTTATTATGTTTATATATTACCTATCTCCCCCCCATAATATGTTAACTCTTCAGGGGCAGGGATCTTTGTTTCATTCACTGATGTATTCCAAGTACTTGAAGAATGCTTGGAAACCAAATTGGCCCTCAATAAATATTTGCTGAAAGGCAGGTAGAGCAATTAGAATGTGATTGTAGTTTGTCAATTATACCCTAATAAACCTAGAAAAAAATTTAAGGAACTCTATAATAATAGTCTGAAAAACAGCTAATGAAGGGTCAGTTCAGTCCTACCCTACAAATTATTTAATGGAGGTACAAGATAATATCCCAGAATCCATGCCTTTAATGACCTTATGGTGGAGAGACAGACTATTTCAAAATATTAAAAGATTATGGAGCAAAACCAGGGTATCCTAGAGCAAGCAGCATGAGCAAACGTTGAGAGATATGACATAGCATCACGTGTCTGGAGAGCTGAAAGCAAGTCAGTCTGATCAGACGGCATGGTCTAGTTGATGTGCCAACTTGGCTGGACTAGAGTCCCCAGTTACTCGGTGAACACAGATGCTGCTGTGAAGGTGTTTTACAAGTCCATAATTGGTTACTTTAAATAAGGGAGATTATCCTAGACAAGAGAGTTGGGGTGCTGATTCAATCAGCCGAAAGGTCTTAAAACCAGAGCTAAGGCTGCCCTGAAGAAGAAATTCCACCTGTAGACAGCGACCTCCACTGTGCCCAAGAGTACCAGCCTGCCCTTCCTAACAGCCTGCCCTATGGATTTCAGACCGGCCTAGACAGCCCTCACAATCATGTAAGTCAATTCTTTTTAATAATCTCTAGTACAAATCTTCTACTTTGCTTTTCTGGTTGAACCCCAGCTGACACATTAGAGTATAAAGTTTAAGGCAGAGTATAAAGTTTATAAAGTTTAAGGCAGAAGGGGGCAAAAAAAGGATGAGAAGCACTAGGGCCAGATCATGATGGGCATTTGTTTTTAACTTGCTAAGAGGTTTGGCCTTTGCTCTAGAATGAGTAGGACAAGCAAGATGAATGGCGTGATCAGGGGTGGAAATGAATCATTCTGTATTTGGTGTAAAGGATACACTATGACAGCAGGCAAGAGGATGAGAGAGATGCTGGAGGTTGGGGAACTGTTAACAGTTACCTGTGAGAGACGTGAGATGAGAACCAAGAAAGAAGGCCACCATGGAAGTCAGAGAAGTGCTTTGGGAAGAAGTCGTGGTCCATTCTGGTCGGGTGCATCAGAAGAGTCTGCTACTCACCACATTATGGTAAAAGGGGGTCACTAAGGGCCTCAAGAACCGCCATGATGGAGAGGAGGAGGCAGAAACCCGACGGTGTTGGGTTGAAGAGTGGCTGGGAAGGCAGAGAGTAGAGCCAAGCCAAGCAGATGACTCTCTCAGAAGTCTGGCTCAGAAGGGAGGGGAGAAGTGGCGGAAGAGAGAAAAGGATGCGGTGTCAAATGAAGATGATTAGAACGAGAGAAGCTTTAGCCTTCTTCACAGAATGAGGGGAAAGGGCAAGGTCCAAGAGAGGAAAAGGGTGGCCAAGGATACAGGTGAAAGCTTGGTCAAGGACAGTGGGAAGACCCTCATCTTTTGAAAACCAGAGGAAAAGGGTGAAGGATGGGAGTAAACAGAGATATACGTGGAGATGCAGGGTAAGGGACCTGCAGTCATTCAGGCCCAGTGGCTTGTGGGTTTCTCCATGAGGTTAGGAAACAAGGTTATCAGCTGAGAGAAAGAAGAATGACATGGCTAGAGAAGGAAGCTTGACTTTAGTTGAGGTTGGGTGGCCACCTGCAAGGACATTACACAGAGAAATCAGGATTGGGTGAGACTTATACTAAGTGACTTCAGAATTTCCTCACAATTTGATGTTCCTGTGAGTCAGAAAGACAGTGTTCACTTGTTTTTCCTCAGCACCCAAAACAATGCCTGGCATATAGTATGCACTCAACACCTTTGTTGAATGAACGAATGAATACTTAAATGAGCCTCTCACCCAAATACTTTTAGTTGTAATTACCAGCTTTGATATACACTCATTTTTAACATTTTCAAGAGATCACAGATGCTTCTCAGAGCCTTGAAACTTCATATGACTTTAGTTTTCTCCCTTCACCTGAGGAGGAGATACAGGCAAGTCAAGCCACATAACTGAGGCTTCAAAGCGGACATTTTCAGCTTGACTTTTTCCCCGAGCTGTCTTAGAGCAAATTATCAAGAAACTGGCCAAATCTCTTTATTATTTTATTACACAATAAGCTTTTTTGAACCGAGCAAGTTTTTTCACTGAAATTTTTCATTTAGATTCTCCCACTGTAAGTAGAATGTTGCCTTAACCTTTTCTGACACAACAAGCTCTCTTCCCTCCTATTGGTCTTGGTGACATTTACCACTGACTGAAGTGAAGAGAGAGAGAGAAAAAAAAAACCAAGACTCTTTTTAAAAAGCAAGCTTTCTATTTTATGTTTGGTAGTGGGAAGCAGCCGCATAGCACAGGGAGATCAGCTCTGTGGTTTGTGACCACCTAGAGGGGTGGGATAGGGAGGGTGGGAGGGAGGGAGATGCAAGAGGGAAGAGATATGAGAACATATGTATATGTATAACTGATTCACTTTGTTATAAAGCAGAAACTAACACACCATTGTAAAGCAATTATACTCCAATAGAGATGTTAAAAAAAAAAAAAGCAAGCTTAACTGGAAGCATGGAAGAGTTAGATAATAAAAATATAATGCAGGCTGTGTCAGCCTGCTGCTAACACAGGTCCCTGTTGACCCTTCCCCATGCATTACCTGCGTGGAAGACTTTGGTTTTCCCATTAGTGATTCCAGAAGACCTTGCCTCCATTTTTATTGACCTTCTGCCTGGTGGGAGTGAGGAATGCCTGACCACGGGCAGGCGACGTGACCCTGGGTGGCTTGCCACACTTCGCCGTTGGTGGATTTGCAAACGCTTTTCAGCCCCATGAATAGATAAACTTAAACCTGGAATAAGAAATAGCACAATTATATTGAAGAAGTCAGTGCAGAATGGCTAAAACGCCAAATTATTTCCCGGCATAAGATCCAGAAAGCATTAAGTAACTTTGTTTCAAATTCTTAAGGGATGCTAGTAATATAAGAACTGTGATACCAATTGATTTTCACATTATATTATTTCCTGAACATTGTTTCATTCAAAAGTGGACAGCCTCAGTTATTGTGACAAGAGTTTTATAAACAGAGCCAATAAAGTTAAATACTAAAATTCTTCCAAAGTCCTGGAAGATATGCACATAATTGGCATGCTTTTGTCAGTGGCATGAGGATTAGAAACTGTTGTGATATCTGGCATTTCAATAAACATCGAAGAATCTTTTTCCACAGTATTCATGTATAGGCCAGAGTTAAAGACTGAACTCAGATTAACACCTCTGATAACCTTAAAATTATGTATTTTTTTAGAGCTATTTTATCTGGGAAAATTTCAACCATACTAAAAGTGAAAAGAATAGTACAATGGACTCGACGTACCTACCACCCAGCTTCACTAAATAAAGATCTTCCCCAAAAGCTGAAAAAAAAACTTTCCCATATTCACCTATTCCACTCCCCTTGCTGTCAGTTTGCTTTTTAGGTGCCAGAGTAGTTTAAAGCAAATCCCAGACTTCATGTCAATTTCATCAGAAACAATATTGATTGTATTAACTTATATCGATTACATACATATGGATTACATCTGCGGATACATACAAACTATATTTTAAAATTCTGAGCTCAAAAGCTGAAAACACTCATAACACCGCTGGAGGTTGATAAAATACCAATTCATTATTAAGAAAATGATAAATAAAAGGAAAGAAGAAAGCATTTATCCTGCCTTTCCTTTACTAACCATACTTAAGCCAAACAGTTGATAAGACAAAGTTCTTCACTACAGAAGAATTCCAGTTAATAAATTACTGATGGAAAAGAGAATTAGAAAATCATTTTAGAAGCCTCAAGTGAAATATGAAAGGTTATATGATTTTTCCAAAGAAGCACTGTGAGGACAGAGCTGCAATTCAAATTCATGGTGGACTGAATCCAGATTTGCTCTTTAAAAAAAAGCCAAGGAAAGGTGTTAGCCTTATTTGATGCCAGCCAGCCACGGGGACTTGTTAAGGAATCATGCCATCCGATGCAGGAAAGCTAACCTTCACCAAATCACAAAATTTTTTCATTAAAAGGAAAATCTCTATGAGTCTGTTTCTGTTTTGCTATATACGTTCCTTTGTATTATTTTTTAGAGGGGTTACCAGCTGGGAGAAGGAAGTGGGGAGGGGAACGTTAGGGGTATGGGATTAAGAGATACAAACTACTATGTGTAAAATAGATAAGAACAAGAATGTATTGTAGAGCACAGGGAATTATAGCCATTATCTGGTAATATCTTTTGATAGAGTATAAGTTAAAAACACTGAATCACTTATGCTGTACACCTGAAACTAATATTGTAAATCAACTATACTTCAGTTAAAAAAAAAAAAAAAGAGGAAAATCTCTTGAAACTTGAAGGTAGAAATTTAGCATTGGAAGTTACCTTAGCAGTTAGCTAATTCATCTGGTACCTTACGCAGATGAGGAAACTGAGCAATGGCAGGCTAAAACAATCGGTTTACATATTATCAGTACTGGAAGGCCTCAGGGAGAAGTCTACTACAAACCCAGAAATGAAGGAAATTGAAAACCTGCTCAGAGGTAAATTATAAATCAGCAATCATGGGTCATGTCAGAGGTATGAAGAGTTACTTTAAATTTTCCCAAGGTTGGGGTGGGGCAGGATGTGACCTGGGCCAATTCGTAAGTTCTAAGGAATTTTAAGAAAGGATGATTCAACTCAGAATGAGGTTTGGTCAGCCAAGGAAAAGACAATAACAATACAAACAACAACAATAAACAAAACATGTCAGAGACAAACCTGGGCAGTGCCCGTCCAGGCAACAGCCGCAAAGTTCAAAATTTCCAAATGCATAGCCAGACGGCACTGACATGCAGTTTTTCTCTCCTTTATCCACTTAACTGCCTTCACTCTGACAACGCTCACCAGACAACCTTAGGATTAGGATGTGGCTCCCAGGGCAGGGAGAGAGAAATCACACGAGTATTCCCACCTCTCCGGCAGAGAGGGTTCACGGTGTGGATTAACAAACTGGCACCGTGGGTTTCCACACATCCACCTCCTCAAAAATTACTTAGTATACTCTGCCCCCATGATGCGGTTTCTAAGCCCACAAGCTGTGAGCCTGAGACTTGTTCTTGGGAGGTTCACCCTGGTAAGACCTGCCGTGCTAGGTGGCCCCTTGGGAGACAGCCTGGCAGCCTTCCCCTCACACTGCATGCCCTACTCTGATGCTCAGCTGCCTGAGCAAGCAGAAGCCTTACTCATAGGTTTCTCTCTAGGGGCAGGACTAGAACTACAGCATCAGCCTGGAATTGTTCCACTCTGCTGTGCTCGTCACTACCATTCTATGCTCCACATTTCCAGAAAGGTGACTTCAGAACACGAGAATTCCCTAGTGGTCCAGTGGTTAGGATTCAGCGCTTTCACTGCAGTGGCCCAGGTTCAATCCCTGGTCAGGGACCTAATATCCTGCAAGCTTCGAGGTGCAGTCAAAAAAAAAAAAAAAAAAAAGGCTCCAGAAGAATGCACACAGATTTTCAGGTGACAGATGAAGGGGCTGGGAGGGGCACTTGAAGTCAACATCAGATGGTACATGCAGTCTCAGTCTGTATATGTGAAATAGATAGCTCTCCCAAAACAAATTCTTTATTTTTAATTTTTTGAATTATTTTTTTATACAGCAGGTTCTTATTAGTTATTTATTTTATACATATTGATGTATATATCTCAAAGCCAATCCCTCAATTCATCCCACCACCACCCGCACCCCCCGACTTTCCCCGCCTTGGTGTCCATACATTTGTTCTCTACATCAGTGTCTCTATTTCTGCCTTGCAAACTAGTTCATCTGTACCAAAAATTCTAGATTCCACATATATGCATTAATATACGATATATGTTTTCTCCTTCTGACTTACTTCACTCTGTATGACACTCTCTATGTCCATCCAAATCTCTATAAATGACCCAATTTCATTCTTTTTATGACTGAGTAATATTCCACTGTATATATGTACCACCTCTTCTTTATCCATTTGTCTGTCAAGGGGCATTTAGGTTGATTCCATGACCTGGCTATTGTAAATAGTGCTGCAATGAACATTGGGGTGCATGTGCCTTTTTGAATTATGGTTTTCTCTGGGTATGTGCCCAGTAGTGGGATTGCTGGGTCATATAATAATTCTATTTTTAGTTTTTTAAGGAACCTCCATACTGTTCTCCATAGTAGCTGTATCAATTTACATTCCTACCGACAGTGCAAGAGGGTTCCCTTTTCTCCACACCCTCTCCAGCATTTGTTGTTTGTAGATTTTCTGCTGATGTCCATTCTAACTGGTCTGAGGTGATAACTCACTGTAGATTTGATTTTCATTTCTCTAATAATTAGTGATGTTGAGCAGCTTTTCATGTGTTTCTTGGCCATCTGTATGTCTTCTTTGGAGAAATGTCTATTTAGGTCTCTGCCCATTTTTTGATTGGGTTGTTTTTTTTTTTAATATTGAGCTGCATGAGTTGTTTATATATTTGGGAGATTAACCCTTTGTCCATTGATTTGTTTGCAAATATTTTCTCCCATTCTGAGGGTTGTCTTTTCGTCTTCTTTATAGCTTTCTTTGCTGCACAAAAACTTTTAAGTTTCATTAGGTCCTGTTTGTTTGTTTCTGTTTTTATTTCCATTACTCTAGGAGGTGGGTCAAAAAGATCTTGCTGTGATTTATGTCAAAGAGTGTTCTTCCTATGTTTTCCTCTAAGAGTTTTACAGTGTCCAGTCTCACATTTTGGTCTTTAATCCATTTTGATTTTATTTTGGTGTATGGTGTTAGGGAGTGTTCTAATTTCATTCTTTTACATGTAACTGTCCAGTTTTCCGAGCACCACTTATTGGAGAGACTGTCTTTTCTCCATTGTATATCCTTGCCTCCTTTGTCATAGATTACCTGACCATAGATGTGTGGGTTTACCTCTGGGCTTTCTATCCTGTTCCACTGATCTATATTTCTGTTTTTGTGCCAGTACCATATTGTCTTGATTACTGTAGCTTTGTAGTATAGTCTGAAGTCAGAGAGTCTGATTCCTCCAGCCCTGCTTTTTCCCTCAAGATTGCTTTGGCTATTCAGGGCCTTTTGTGTCTACATACAAATTTTAAGATTTTTTGTTCTACTTCTGTAAAAAACGTCATTGGTAATTGGATAGGGATTGCACTGAAACTGTAGATTGCTTTGGGTAGTACAGTAATTTTCACAATACTGATTCTTCCAATCCAAGAACATGGTATATTTTTCCATCTCTTTGTGTCATCTTTGATTTCTTTCATCAGTGTCTTGAAGTTTTCTGAGTAGAGGGCTTTTACCTCCTTAGGTAGGTTTATTCCTAGGTATTTTTTTTTTATTCCAATGGTGAATGGGATTATTTCTTTAATTTCTCTTTCTGACCTTTTGTTGTTAGTGTATAGGAATGCAACAGATTTCTGTGCATTAATTTTGTATCCTGCAACATTACCAAATTCACTGATTAGCTCTAGTAGTTCTCTGGTGGCATATTTAGGATTGCCTACATATAGTATCATGTCATCTGAAAAGAGTGACAGTTTTACTTCTTTTCAATTTGTATTCCTTTTATTTCTTTTTCTTCTCTGATTTCCATGGCTAAGACTTCCAAAACTATGCTAGATAATAGTGGCAAGAGTGTACATCCTTGTCTTGTGCCTGACCTTAGAGGAAATGGTTTCAGTTTTTCACCATTGAGAATGATGTCTGCTGTGGGTTTGTCATATATGGCTTTTATTATGTTGAGGTAGATTCCCTCTATGCCCACTTTCTGGAGCGTTTGTATCATAAATGGT